AGAACGAGAAAAACGTTAGTGGCCATTTCTAGTTGGCTATTAGTAAATAAGTTTGCTCACGGTCCATGAAGTAAAGGCTTGACAACTAGATTTACTCGGTGCACAGCGTCAAGTTAGTTAAATATATACTTATTATTAATACGAGCAACGTCGATCGTAATGGCAAATGTAAGTTTTCCTCGTAGATATTTCCACTAACATTTGATGGGGGAGGGTTTGGCTTGTCTTGAATGCCACATCTCTTATGATATCTTTATTTATGTATTCGTATAAATCTACAGTCACAAATCCAAGGCAATCCTCCTTCGGCCTTTGATGAAGTTAATTTACGAATCCTTTCCACTCGCCTCTTTAAGTGAAGTGGAACGTACGCCAACATATAGTTGATGTTTTTAAATATATTAACTTTCAGAATGTCAGCTGTCTTCGGGGGTACCTTCTCTCTTGGCCGACATGCTGTCAGTGTTGCCCAAACCCATGCTGGGCTCTCTGAGCTCCCAGATCGGCCACCAACGCCTCGTCGAGCCCTTGTGGTCCGTTTGTCAACCGGGGAGCAAGTGGAAACAGACTTTGTCATCTACGCTGCTGATCAGGCACCTGCTACTTGGATGAGATCTCATGTAAAAAGGTCAGTATAACTAGTCTGCTAGTTATCTAATCCTACTTGCTTCTCTGAATTTATAACGAAATATGTAGTCATACCTACGAAATGTCTTCAATATTCACAACTATTTTAAGCCCATAAATGCTTAATAAACAGCTTTTTACAAGATGTTCTGCTTAAAATTAAATAGGCATTTTAATTTGCGTTTTTAATTAGAGGATGTTAATTTAAAATCTTCGTGAAAAGTTCATTTTTCTGCACAAATTATTTCTTTTTACAGATGGATCGCTCGTGCAATCTACATTACTGATCGTTCACTTGTTGAGGAGAATCGATCTCCCACAGATGTAAGTCGTCATACTGTTATCTATTCTACCGATTTCATTGGGTAAAAATTAGAGTCAACTTCCAGTCTATTTTATAAACCTGTAGTAAC